ATTAAGAAAAAAAAAGAATTGATTTGTTGGCATTTTAACGTGCCACCTGGCGTTTAACTAACGGAAGGACCATTTTGGTACCAAAAATGAAAGTTTAAGGATAATTTTGATACTTTTTAAAGTTGAGGGACCAAAATGGTACTTAAACCTAACAATACTTAGTTGGTCGCCATCCTTGGTAGCCACTGTGGCTGCTTTTATCTCATTACAATGGTTTATGAACTTGGTCAGCTCCTGGACTCATGAGAAAAAACAAAACTCAAATTGGCAACTCGAATGAAGCATAGTAATACCGCTCCAAAAAACTTCCTAAATGGCACTTTCTCATTGTGTGTCAGTGTTCGTGTTGTGGGGTGGGGGCAGTGAAGCATAACATTGACGTAGCTTGTTGTTTAGAGAAGCGAACGCTGCCAATGCGAGATTTAAAATAATAATGCAATTTTTATAAATCTAAGACCAAACCAATAATTGGTCAAAAGAAACCTAAAAATCAATTAGTCCCACAAAAGCAAACTTGCCAGAAAGTTGGACTTTTTAACAACTGCCAGAGAATGTAAATCTTCATTACAATGAAAAAAATAAAATAAAATTTACTGAAGACAATTTCAAAAGAAAATTGTATGATTTGCCAATTTCAAAATTTTTTCCCATTTTTATTAGTTATGTGATGTCCTTCGAAATTTGACTGAGCTTCTTTGCCCAACCCACCATCAATGAAACTTTATTAGGAAGATCATCCTTGGGAAAAAAAAAATAGTGCGTGAGCTTGGCAATATGCTCAAGCAAAAATACCTATTCCAAAATTTAATCAATAAAAGGCAAACTTAAATAAAATAAATTAATATAATAAAACACTAAAACAATTACCTGATATGTCAAAAAATCTCCGCAAAACCGATGCCTTGCTTTCTTTACAAATGTCCTTAAACAGTTATTTATTTTGGCTAGTACTGCAGCATGAAGTTCAATACTTTTGTATTCACATTCCTCAAAAAAAAAAAAATCTTTTTTTTTGAATTTTAATAAAAATATTTTTTTATATAAATTGAAGAATAAAAAATATGCATATATTATAAATTAAAAAATAAAAAATGTACATATATTATATTATAAGTAAAAATTAAAAATATATATATTTAGGCAAATCTAAACAAGATAAAAATTTTGTTACGGAATCAAAATTGACATTTAACCAAATTCTAACTGCTTGTTTAGTTTGCATGCAACTATCAGCAGAGATCGGAAGTTTCCTATACACTTTTTTATTTGATCAGCAGTTTCCTATACAATAATGGATAAATATTAGTGTGCAATTTACGCAAAACAAATGAGATTCAGTTGAAGTTTCAACTAATTACACAGTTAAGAAGTTTTAAAAGAGAAAACTGAACCTGTACTTGCCTAAACCTACGGTGACACACCATCACCAACATGAATTTTTAAAACCTTAAAAGTTCATGTATTCAATTAATTCAGTGCCATGCAATTCCTTTCCAATTCAACTTCAAAAAATCAAACCACAAAGATAAATTGGCTGAACAGAAATGTATATCACCAGGGCTAATAAAATTGAATGAAGAGTAAAAACTCTTTCTTTGATATTTTGAAGAAACTTGGAGAGCTTACTCGATCAGTGTCTATATCTTTGGTCATCTTCGACGGCTTCACCACTTTCTTCCCTGAAAAACCAAATTAAGTGAGATTCCCAAGCATGAACAAACGCACACACCCAATTTAACATACGAAAATTACTAAAGACCTTTACGAGTCTGAGGGATTTTTCCGTGGCGATTTGGAGGTATCGTCTTCTTCTTCTGTTGACCTTTGAAAAGATTTCCTTTCTGCGTCATCTCTGTTCGTGGGAAGAAGAAGTTTGGGTTTTTCTGTGTAATAAAGCGTTGTTTCGGTTTGAAATCGGGAGGCGTCCTCGTAGGGTTTTACTATCGCTCTCTCGACGACGAAGGATGTCCGTTGGGCTTGATACGCTTGGCCCATAAAGTGTTAAACAGGCCTGGAAACATCCCAATCATAATAAACAACCGAAATCCATATTCTATAACAAAATTCTGAGCCCAGCCCAATCATCCATATATCATCCACTATCACG